CTTATGTTATAATTACTCAAAGACAGTTTATCTGTCATGGATACATGTAAATGATATGGTAAAAAAAAGACATATCTTAAAGTATAACATGAATTGTGACTTTTCTGCACTTTCAAATATGAACATAAATAAAGAAAATTCTGAAATTCCCGGACACTTTTCACACATAACGTACGTGTTGAGTGATCTTGAATTTGCGCAGACACTACACATTTCGTACACTTTTCTTTTTAGGTGTTATATGTCAGTGATTTTTATTAAATCATTGATAATTTAATAGATGGATCATCCATGCAAGTTTTTTCAATATAGTGGATACAGTTAGTCGGAAATAAAACCTGCAGAAATAACTTTTATCTCCTCACTCATTTGAAAAATGTAGGTCAGACTCAGCATCTGAAGCTGGACTAGTAGTTAATATGCATTCTTAGATGTATCAGTCATGAAAACTTGGTCAACATATTTACGAATCATCCGTGAAATGTAGGTCAGATCCAGAATCTGAAACAAGCCTGGTAGTATGCATCTTTAGATGTAGAACCAGTCAAGTTTGGTCAACAAAGGGCTTATAGTTACTCAGAAATAATACCTATACCAAAATCTTGAACCTACCGGTATTTTCTCATCCGGAAAATGTATGTCAGATCCATCATCTAAAGCAAGTTTGGTAACATGCATCCTTAGATGTATCACCCAGTCCCAGTCAAGTTTGGTCAACATAAGTCTTATATGCACATGTACATGGAAACGAGGCCTGCAACAAAAACCTTAACATGCTCAAAAAGCATTAACCTGGTTATTCCTCATCTGAAACCTTAACTGGTACAATGAAACACATTGTAGAAGCATCTTGCATGCATCTCTGATCAATATACATGTAGGTCATAGAAAAACTTAAAGAGAGAACTGCACCAAATACTTAAACATCGGACGCCGACGTTATCACATAAGCTCTCCTCAACTTCGTTGAGGTGAGCTTAAAATCTAAATTGGCAATAAAATTATTTTGAAAAATTTAAAAAAAAAATTGGGGTCAGTGATGCAAATTTTGAAATATTGGTCAAAATATGCGATTTTCAGGCAAAAAAGTGTAAATGTTAATCTTATCTTGACTTCATTAATATATCTTCATTTTTATGCAAAGTTTGTTGAGGGAAGGTGTAAAGTTGAATATAAAAATATGATTGAGACCTATACTTATATAAAAAAAATGTTTAATGGTTTAATTAAAGGTATGATAAAGTTTACAATTTTTTTTTGATAATTTCACAAACTTATAACTCTATCTGTGAAATGGTATTTACCTTATGTGCAACTTGCTAAATTAGCTGAAAGCCGTAAAAGATTTATACAGAGGTATCAAAAGGGAGAGCACCAAGGACAATCAGTTATTTGCTTTTTGCAAATGATACTAGTAGATACTTATCAATGCGCTGCGGCGTGCATTTATTCCACGCTCCTGTTCCTTTGCTAAGTGTGACTCCCACCACAACATTTGATCAACCAAGGCGTTAACTATGATACACTCTGAACCACGTGGTATAGTCCGCTCAAGGCACTAGTTTACGACTAGGAAGATTCCACTAGCGAATGAATTTTCTAAGATGTACTGGGTTCGTTATGCAGAGTTCAGGTCCTTATGAAATGCTTGAAAATATCTATGCCTCTAGTTCAACAGTACAAATGTTGACGGGAAAATCTTTCTCAAGATCTTTACGAGGTCAGATGATGGTTGACTGTGCTTTACATATTCTTTATATCTCAAGGATCTAAAATTTTCCTACACCGTGTAATCTTGACAATAACACCAAAGAAACCAATGAGGACGATACACAAGATAACAAGCACCGTTGAAAGCAAATTTTGAGAGGGCGATATCGTCAGTTGCTGTGCGAGTCAGTATGTCTTGATACTCTAGTAAACGCTCAACTTCTGGAAATGGAGCAAAGTATTAAGGAAGAAAAAGACAGACGTTCCGAATGGATACAGTATATGGATATGGTCTACATTATTAAACGCTTTATTAGAGCAGATTGAACAAGGAAGCGGCAAATGCATTTAAAAAAGAAAAATGCTACCTTTTGCAGCAAAGGACACAATTTGTACAATTATTGGAAGCTCATACTTGGTACGGGATTGTTGCAGCTGCTTGTTCAAGATAAGCGATATTAAAAGTATACTAACAGGAAAAAGAAACGCATAAGAACATTATATGCGTACATTTTTTACTATGTGCACGAAAATTATGAAAATAGGTCATATGTGTATTTTTGTTACTTTGCACTAAGGTCGCTGGTTAAAACTACTCAACCATGAAATATATGACGTCACGTAGGGGAAGTGATAAAAAGCCAAAAGCACGTGCATGTTGATGATGACAATTTTAGGATCACATTTAATAGTGCCAAGCGGTTCATTTGAGTTATAGACATCGTTTTCCACATTTGCAGTCAGCATAAATTTCTTGCAATCATGATATGGCTGACAGAAGTTACACTAGGTCCAGTAATTGAATTGCGTAAGTGAATAAAAAGGCAACAGCATGTTGCTGTGCAGTTTGTTCTAAACTTTTCAACAAAAAAACATTTTCAGTAGTCAGAGAGTAACTTAATGACGTTGGCGAGTAACAACGTTACACCAAGATAGGGCTTTTTCATCATGCCACCTCGGTTTTTGTCAAGGCATTATCACCAAAAAATCATACCCGTATTTTCCACCCTACAATTAACAGAAACTGTTCTTATTTGGCCCGTGAGTTTGGCAACTTTACGTCGATTTTACTCTCACACGCGCACGTACGCCTCGTATGCGTAATGTTTTTAGCATGTTCATCACACTGGAGAAATGTAGCTAGTGTGTGTCGAGACTTTCTCACAAAAACTCACGTGTACCAAACCAGCTTAATTCAGCAAATTTTATCTTAAAACAAACATTCGTGGGATTCACTTGGCGGGGGAATTTGTTGGCTTAGGAATAATACAGCTACTCTCAACCATTAAGACTATCGTCGGAAGGGTTGAATAATTATCCTTTGAGAAAGATAAATGCTTGATTAAAGTTGAATTGATCATGAAATGTTTGATAACAATACTGGAAAACGATTTCGAAATATGAGTTTTAATTTAATTTAAAAGCTTAATATGCGTTTTTTTCCTTCAGTATATAATATTATACAATTATGGACTTCAGTATAGGTCGATATATGGTTATAAGGACTCATGGCAATTGATACTGACCGAAGACAAAGAAAGTGATAGCGACCGAGCCTGCCTTCTGTGTCTGGGTCAATATCAATTGCAATGAGTCCTCATAACCACATATTGACCGTTCACTGAAGTTTATAATACTTATATAATATAATCACTCAAAGTGAATGCACTGACGTACACAAAAGGAGGAATAACACGTGACGTCCTTTCAGCCAATGAAAAGTACGAAAATAATCTTATAATATTATTTTATAACAGAGTTTACTATTCTAGAGAAATACCACTTCTGTTCACAAAAATTAAAACACAATTTGCTATCACATCGACAGCTTGTTTTATTTATTTACTGACATCGTAATATATAAATTTATCTTCAGTATTCTTTGCATGTACTGTAGATCACTTAATTTTCGCGACACCTTATTTTAGCAAGAGAGTCATTGACTCTTTATTAGCGAGACATAATTTTCACGAATTGTGGTCATTGCTCTATATAAGCTTAAGGAATTCAATTATACACGAGAATGAAATTTTCGCGAGCATACCCTCGCATAATTACGCGAAAAAAAAGTTCTCGTGAATAAAAAGTGATTTACAGTATTTAGAAGTTGATACAGGTGAACTTCGGTTCCTCGAACTGGCATGGCTCAAATATCCAGATCTGTCAAAACTTTTACGTGATTTGTACAGTAAATCAGAGCACTTTTATACATGTATATGTCACTCTCAACATCTCGAATTCTAAGACATCTCCATTTTTATCGGTAATAAGAAGATCGAGATAACAAGGTCTGTATCTTTTTCCCTTTGGTCATATTCTTTCATTTATGAAAGAATGAGTGGACTTAACTGGCCAAAAAAAATGCTAAAATTTAAGTTTCATATAATATTTATTTTTTTCATCATATAGACCCCCGATATCTTAACCGTGTATTCATGGTACGGATCTGAATTTAAAACACTCTTTTCGAGGTAAACTAAATAAATATCGAAGGCATGGTACCTGAAGATTTCTTGAATATCAATAGATAATCAGGGTCACGCGTTTTTCGTCGTCTGAATACATAGTCAGCACATGTTTGTCGGCTGTTCTTAAGAAAACTTTAGTTGTATATTGAACAAAATAATGTTATATTAAAAGGAGGAGAGCTGACAAATGTGTGCTCATACTTAATTTAACAAAAACATGTTCAAAACAAACTTCTCGCTTCCATTGTTATGTCTTCGATTGACCTGTTAAATATTACAATTCATCACATGATGTCCACCTGCGAGTGTACTCGTGAAAACAGTTACATTGTATTCTTCAACCTGACCTCGATCTAAATCATGTCTTTGAGCGTGTTTTGTTGCGATTTTCAGAATTTAGGAAATTAAATATTGTTTTTAATTTTTCGTGTCATCACATTTTCAAAATAATTTCATATTGACATCGCTGTAGTATGCTAAACACGTATCCGAATTTTTCGAGAGAGAGAGAGGGATAGAAAGATAGATGTCAACAATGACGTCGATCGATAGCCTCGCCTCCTATAAATATTGATTGTGTGGCATAAAAACCACTCCGGGTACATGTCGAATTCCGGTAGACGACACTCATGTATTGTTGCTTTAATTTTGATACATGACAACAGGACATTGTTTTGCACAAATGTTCCACCTAATATAACCAAGTATATGTAGCTCTTTCTATTGCTCGTGATATATTTTTGATTCACTTCATTTACAGCTTGATAGAGGAGTCGCAAAAAAGTCCAAAATAGGGCGATAAGTCCACCCATTCTTCGTTTTATTTCAAACCAAGTTAACAATTAACTCAGAATTCTTAAATCAACAACTCAGAGGTTCTTCTTTCATATTAAAAAGCATTTATTTTTATTTTGAAAGCATTTAATCACAATTTTAGGTTTATGCTTTACACAATACACAGTTTTAAAAGTACAATAGTGTTATCCATTATTTGAAATGAAGAACTTATTTCCTTTTTAGTACATATGCATGAAAAAAGTCTTAAATAAAAGTTAAAATATAAAAAGTTTGGAACAGAATAACAAGAGACAAATTACCATCAAATATAGGAAGTCACACAGATTATGCTTTATACGTACACTTTTGCACAAAGATCAAGGTCATAAACAGATAATAGACATACGTCAAAAACTATATTTCAAATATCTCGTACTAAAATAAACATAGTTAAGTGCTTAAACGACTTGAGCATTTTGAGTGTCATCAAAATACTCTTACATGATGAACATTTTGATTAGTTTTTTTAACTGTGCAAAATTTCTACTTAAATTCGTTCTCAGTTTATGGTCAAGTGCTATGATTTAACTATATCTGCAAAAGAGGGCCCTGAATAACCAATCGGAATGAACAAGATCTTTCGATTCTGAAGTTTTTAAAATTTTGTAAAATATTTCTTTAATACAAAATATCGTGATAGATAGCAATCTTAATAAAATCAAAAATTCTTAAGGACAGATTATACAATCAAACTTTTGTCAAAGAATTTGAAAATAACAATTTGGGTCATGTTTAAATGAATAAAATGAATAACTTTCACCGCGTAGTTTTTCATTTTTTATTCAAATTTTCACAAAAATGGAATTTAAAGTGAAAAAATATTTCTATAAATTAATAAGGATGGTTTCAGAAGGACACATTTTGGAACATCACAGAAGGTTTACAATTTCTTTATATTTTAGAAATTTATTATTTGCATCATTTGCAATGAAATAAGGCCAAGAAATATATACCAATCCAGGCATCCTTTTTTGTTTGTATCATGTGAAAAAAAAAAAATCATGAACATAATAATATAAAATGGGTCAGCAATTCTAAGGCATGCCTTATTACTAGTGATGGGAATCGGTAAGAATTTAATAATTTAGGATTGGGTTACTGTAACTAATTTTCGATTACAACCGGACAGTTGAAGTCTATCAATTTGAACAAGTAAAGGTTAGAATGGACAAATGACTTCTTTCAACGGTGGTTCAGCTGGTCCTCCATTTATTTTATAAAACTTAAAGTACGCCTATACCCGGGAAATTGATTTGTTATCCGGGTATAAATACAATTTCGTGTTTATCTGCACCATTACGTTACATAAATAGTTAATGGTTATGTGGTAGATTTTCAAGTATTTTATCATTTTAAGAAACCTGAATGAAGAAAATATACACTATCATATTTGTCCAGTCACTTTAAGATCTAACATGCATTGAGCTCTATTATGCATTAAGATTAAAGAGTATTTTTAAAACATGTATGTCCAAATAGTATCTTTAAACCATATAAAAATAACTTTTTTAATCACACATATTTAAAATAAGCCTACTTAAGATGTTAACATCCAAATATTCATGAAATATGTCTTAGTCACTTTTTCTTCTCTCCCTCTCTTCAGTTTTCATTTTTCTTTGGGATTACTTGTTAAATATCGCGTATATTTCTCAACAAAAAATTCATGTTTTTTCAGCGGGTGCTCCATACTTTCCCAGTTTGTTTTGAATGAGTCTGCAAATCTTTTCACTAAGAACTTGCCAATTTTTCTATATTTAGTGTTGCCTTTTTCTGGATAAGGAAAACAACAGCTGAATTCAGTATTGCCGCTCCCAGCAGGTCTCATCAGTTGCAGTAAGAATTCTAGCTCACATTTCTGAACAACTGGCAAGAAATCTGCATCAACATGTGAAGTAGCTTTGAGTAAAGCTATATTCAGCACTTCATGACGAAGTGTTACACTACCATTTTCAAATCGTATGAACCCAGGAAAGTTTGAAGCAGTTTTCTGCAAATACTCTTTTGATACAAATGCATTAATTGAAATTGCCCATTCGGCCAATTCATTTCCATATTCGTGTTTTTTTCTAACACACATCAAGTAAACAAGGATGTAATAGTCTATCGCTGAATCACTTTTCATTTTCAGAAATCGTTGTGTTAATGTCTGAAGAGGGGCTTTGGTGAAAGCTACATCAGAAAATAAATCATGATGATGGCAGTACATCAAACTAAGAAAAGGACTTCCAATATGGCCCTGGTTTTCTCTAAGTTTATCCAGAACATTGGTGGTATCAACTGTTTTAAACCAACAATTTGGATCTGTTTTACAGTGACCATCATTTTGTTGCTCTCTCATAATAAGCAGCAATTCTGATTTTGTTAGTTTGTCCAAATCAACAGTTATGTTTTTATTTTGAAGGAGTTTTAGATTATGATTTTTTTTTATTTCATCAAATACATGTTGGTGGATTCCAACAGCAACTTTAGTATTCCTTGATTTTTCACGCATACACTCCAGTAAATTTTCAAAACTTAATAATCTACTTGAGGAAAATATATTACAACCAAAACTTCCAAAAAGATTGTCACAAATCAGAATTGTTTTATCTTCCATATTTTCCTCTAGAGGAAGTAAGTTTTCCTCCATCCATCTTACTTTCCATCTTTTCTCTGTATATTTGTTCTTGATTGCTTTTAAAGCATGAGTTTTACCACATCCTATGGCCCCTTTAAAGATTACGACATTCCCTGTTTCCAAAAGCTGAATTGCTGACTTTATCCCTCCAGTCACCACAATGCCTTTCTCAACATAACAGTCTGGATTCAGCTTAATACCTAGGCAAATATATACACAAACAGACTACAAATAATCTGCATTTTCTCATCAACATCAACAATTAAAATGTCACTTCTACAAAATTGAGGAGCAATTTTTTTTAAAACATTATTTTTAGAAAAAGAAAGAAGAAAACTTGTCTCCATTTCATACTTACTGTGTATCTTTTCTTTTATCTCCGAAAAACCTCCCAACGCATCTTGTGCCTTATTTTGTGATTCTATATCATTCTGAACAGCTACAGTTCCGTATTTATTCCTCATTCTGTTGAAAACATCATCTAAATTCTTAAAGTCATAGTCATTATCACAGTATTTATTCCACATAGATCGTATCCTTTCAATGTCAGCACCAACTGTCCGTTCATCCTCTGGAGGTTCATAGTCCCAGCCTTTCGTCGGTGGTTTAAAATTTACACAAAAGTTTCTTAGTAAAGCAAATACCAGGGACATGTCTAGCTTATTGTAATCATCAGACTTCTCAACTCCGTAAAGATCCTGCAAAACCGGTTCTGTGAAATGTTCTCCAAGGGATTTAGAATGAATGATGGATTTTTCCTTTAGATCCTTAACATCTATTTCCCTCCTTAAGATGTGAACCAGGTACTCTTGAAGAATGTTGAGTTTTTTAATTTTCATTTTCATTTCCTCTGTAAAAGATTCAATCAATAAGAGGTGTTTAAATTTTAAGAAGCATTAAAATAAAGTTCTCGCGATTAAAAAGTGATTTACAGTACTATGAAAAACGTTTCAGTGAAAATAACAGCCAACACATTTTATATGTTTTTCCTGGTATACAGAAAAAAAGAAACCAGTTATATTTAAATTATTTAAATTTATCCATATCAGACAAAGAAACACTTAATCCGAACTGCCCACATGCAGTGTTTCAGAAAATTAATAACCTAGACATAAAAAATGTAATTGAATATTGATAAATAAGGCATGTTTTAATTAAATATTGCTAAAAATTATCAAGTTTAAATTATGTTATATTGAAATAATTATTTCAAGGTGGTTATTAATGCATTTCAAAGTCAAATAAGATACATGTAGAAACCATGTTTTAAGTAAATATTGATAACAGTTTTCAAGTTTTGATTATGTTACATTGAAATAATTATTTCAATGGTGGTTGATAATGCATTTCAGTACTAACATGATGTTGAAACCATTATAAAGTTCATTAATAATATAGTTACATATAAATAGTTATTAAAATGTTTTTCTAATATGAATATACACAAGTACAGTTACAAAGATTTTGTTAAACAGATGCATGAATAAAGAACATAGGCGTCGGACCCGGGGGTGGGATCTTAGCCCCTCCCCTCTTTTTTACTTTTTTTGCTAAGTTAAATATAACATATGTATTGAAATTTGAACTTACTTTTTTTACTTTTAATTACCCACCCCACTTTCAATTTGCTTCCGAGGCCTACATGTAGTTGTTGGGAAACTGCAACCGTTTACAAAAATTTGTTATGGACAGACAGACAGAAACACACACTCTCACACACACAAAAATAATCATTTCAAGTAAGGTTTAAAGTGCATTTCAAAATTAAAACCGTGTTTCCAAACAGTATTGAAATAATCACTTCTAAAATAATTATTTAAAAAGTTTTTTTCCCTTTAATTTAAGGGGTCTATACTTTAAACTGTATTATTTCCAATATTAGTATTGTTTATAGATTTTTTTAATCCATCACTGTTCGGTATCAGAAAAAGAAATCCTTATTCTCACCTTTTATCATATTGTATATCAATAATTTGTGTAACATTAAAATAAAACCTACTTGTACTTTTTTCTTCATGAATAATTTCCTTTTACATACATGTGAAATAATAAATTTGTTAAGATAAATGATAATCACAACAAACAAGCCACAATCAGTGTAAAATAATTCTTACTTAATCCTTTTTTGACAATTATTGCAGCCCGGAGGACCGGGCTGCTCTATGCACATCTTCCCTAGCAAAATACAAATCTAAAGCTTCAATACAGGTTCTTAATCACATATTTTGAAGATACTGGATGACACCATATCTATTCATAGAATGGCACGTTACCTTACCGATCTTTGTTTACTTGCGTTTTTCATTCCTTAGATTAAAGAGTCAAGATATACGCCGAACGCAGATATCGTCAAATACAATAAACAATTGCTATCATATCTTGATAAAAAAAACCCAACTTTTTTTAACACCATATGCCAAGGGTTCATGAGGAGAGTACGTAGCGTATCAGAAACCCTTGGCTAGCGAAGATGCTCTATACATATAAGTTTAAGTGTTGGTTTATAGGGATTGAGCTTGGAGAAGTTATTCAGAATTAAAGGTTTCCTAAACATTATAAAGATTGTTAATCACAATGTTCTTCCCTTTTATAAATTACGATATATATAATATATTTACTTCCATAAAGAGAATCTGTAAAAATAATTATGTTTTTTCTCATTTGATATATAAAGTTGCTTATCATTTACTATCGAAAAAACGACAGGTCCCTTTTTATAGAACATGTCGCAAAAAAACGTACTCTACACAGTTCGTGTTTTATATAATTAAAGTGATATACATTTTTTAATTTCTAGGTGATGCATGTGCTACACAGTTCGTGTTTTATATAATTAAAGTGATATACATTTTTTTTAATTTCTGGGTGATGCATGTGTCTAGTTTGAACTTATATTTATGCAGCCAACATTTACTTGAGGAATTGATAAAGTTTTATAGGGTATCGTTTTTGTTCGATCTTCATCCGACTATCTGTTTTCAAAATAGTCTCGACTATTGTCTCCATCATTACACGCATGCCTTTTTCACATATATCGAAGCGGTTTGATGATCAAAACTCATTTCCATTGTTTACATTATTTATTTCCCGGGCGACAATTGATGCTTGCATCAATGTTTTCTTGTTTGTACAGATACAACTATAAACAATTAAATGTCATTCTTTGTTAGTATGGATGTTAACACTGTAGCTTTATCAGAAAAATATGATGATAACAAATTTGGCTTATCAACTGATTGATTGTATATTGTATAACATCCCCCTCGAGAATTTTTCACTCATGTGGAGATGCCACCACTTGCCGGTGGGGAGCTACAAATTTTGTCCTATACTCGGCACTCAGGGCCATAGAGCAGGAAGGGATCTTTTTGTGCCAGCACCTACAGCGACATGGGACCTTAGTTTAAAGGACGTGGTGTCCACGTCCAACATTGGGATTCGAACCTGCGACATAAGGATTAAACTTATAACGTTAGAACTCTAGACACACTTTGGCTTAAGATTTCAATTTAAACAAGAGGCCCATTGGCCACATATCTCAACTGAGTAACTTTGGCCATAGTGATCTTTAACAGATTTCACCATTGTAGTATCTATTGTGACCCCAACCTACTCCCGGGGGTCATGATGCTTCCACATAAGTTTAAGCTTTTCTGGCCCAGTGGTTCTTGAAAAGAATTTTTAAAAGATTTTTCCGTTATATTTCAATGTAAAAATTGGATTCCCTTTTGTGGCCCCGCCCTACCCTCGGGGGTCATGATTTTTACAATTTTAAATCTAGACTTCACAAGAATGCTTCCATGTAAGTTTTCAGTTTTTGTGGCCCAGTGGTTCTTGAGAAGAAGATTTTTTAATGACCCCGCCCTATTTTTGTCTTTTCTTAATTATTTCCCCTTGGAAGGGGAGTTGACCCTTTATTTTCATAATTTAATTCCCCCTTCACATAATAATGCTTTGTACTAAGTTTGGCCAAAATTGGCCCAAGGGTTCTAGAGAAAAGGCTGAAAATGTGCAAAGTTTAAAGATAGACGCACGACGGACAAAAGGTGATCAGAAAAGCTTTCAGCTCAGGTGAGCTAATAAGCATTTTATTGAAGAAATAAATTAACTGCAATTCTTATTTCAATATAGGGTGTTGATTAATTGTGGTTTACTGAAAAAATGATCATCATAATTGAAATAATCATTTCATTTGTGAATTTCAACTTTCAGTGGTTCTTGATATGATCTTGTTTTGGATTTGAAATGCATTCTAAACCACAACTGAAATAATCATTTATAATTAGGTTGTCCTAATACTATAACTATCGATAGAATATAACATGATTGATGTAATACACCAGAATCTGGAGGGGAAAGTAAGTTAAGCAGGGATGAAACAAATGCCTGTAAGTCACACAGGGATTTAAATAACAGGCCCATGTGCCACATTGCTCATCTGAGCATTGTGGCTAAGAAAAAAAAAAGCAAAGATCATTTTGACACATTTTGCATATTTTGACAGCAAAGACAGTTTACAATCTATTTATTATTTGGGATTTATCACCGGTTTTTACCTCATTTGTATTCAGAATCCCTAAAAATATATAAAAATCCATGCAACATTTTTTGTTACAGTTATCTACCCTCAATATGCAAAGGATTTAAAGACTGCCTTGCTTTTAATGATTATGGTAAAAGAAATTTAGGTGTTAGCATTGAAGTGATGCAGAAGAAGGAGGAAGAGTGAGTAAGCACTTTAACTTTGTTTTACAAGCATTAAACTTTATCAGCTTTATCACCCTATTTAAAGTGAGTTAGATAAAGGTATTTATGCAGTTTGGCATAAAAGTATGGTTTTAATTATAAAATATGAAAATAATGTACCCTCATTCCATTCATTTTGTTCATTTGAATCACCAGCTGTTACATCTTTTTTATCTTTCCTCGTATCTAAGTTGAAATAAAATGTTTTGCATACGTTTTATGTATTCTATTAATTTAACTTTAAATTTATAAAGTCCAAAGCACAATCCCAATATACATGTATCTAATTTTTACCTTTCTCCCTTGATCTGTCCTTGTTTACTGTAGCATACATCGCTTTATCTACTAATTAAAGATACACAGTAGGTTTCACACAGTAATTAGCATTTCAATAGTTAATGTTTAATTTAAAATAATTTGTAATATATATACTAATAATTAAAGCAATTACCAGTTCAAACTTGTCCACATACTGATAGTATTTTAAGTATTAATGCTTAAAATAATGCTTAATTAAAAAGCATCTAAATTTAAAAACTGAAAATCCAGGGGAGGTCACTGATCCTCCAACCCATCCCGCGCAACCCCCTACTTAATCTGCATTTGTTGATGACTATTTGTTTTTGTTTTTAATTGATAATTTATCCATTGTATTACTTTCAATGTAGATTTTATTTATAGTACTGAAAGTACATAAAATCTAACAGAAAGCCAATTTTCCATGACTGTACTTAATTCATTAAATTAACGCACTTGAATTTCAAAGATATATATAGTAATCCATTTTCCCTAAACTTGTTCATTTGAAAATAAAATATTAATATAGAAGAGACTGGTTTAATGTTGCTATACTAGCAGTCTTGAACTTTTTTTTTATTTTATAAAGTAAAGATGATGTTTTTGTCAAAAGAAATCCCTGCTAAAGAATAAGTGCACTTAAGTACGTCATTTGCAACCTTTTCGGCTACCAATTTTAAGCTTTACATTACAATATATGCTAAATTAATCTATGATTATTGTGCAAGCATATGGTTTTGATATTTATTTATAGAATTTTTTGTCATACATATTTCTATAATTACAGACATTGTAACTGAGAAGAACATGTAAAAGCCCTAAATTCCGGAAATTTGAACGGAACCACTTTCGAATCTAAAGTATCCGCCTAAAGGCGGAGACATTTAATTCGCATTGATGTGGAATGTAAACATTAGCACATATGAATTTTTCGCAATCAGATTTTCACTACGATTTAAAATGGAGAAGAGAGATATTGTGTTGTTTTATGGTGCACAATTAATAAATGATTCTAATGTATAGGGAAAGATGTCTTGCCCTGCAGATCATAATACAGAAGCGACATGAGCGTATACATGTACTCACTAATTACACTGTCATTACCAGAATTCTTTCAAAACACCCCTAATGAAAATTATTAAGTTAAGTAAAAGACATTATTTTCAAACCCTTTTAAAATCTGCACAAAACTTTTTCCATAGTTTGAAGTTGGAAGTACGATAGATACTGTCACAACAGAAACTTAAACACAATGGAATGTTCAATGAAAGCATTAGCGTATCGAACAGTAGAATGTCACATGAGTAAGGTCATTATAATATCAATCGTTGATACTCGGTGACCAGTTAATTTAGTAGCTATCTCGACCCTAGTTTGGGGACATTTTTTTTTAATTAGATATGAGCCGCAACTTGACCGACATTGTCCTCTGGATATGTATAAGTTTATATCAAAGTACACATTCTGTGCAAATGAGACCAAAGGCCAAGTTGTGGCTCAATGTAAACAATGTTGTTGAAAACTAGTATGTATACTAAAAAAAAAGAAAAAGAAACGCATAATGTTTTACTCATTAAAGAAATTTTAAGAAAGTATATTTTATCCTTGGATACCTGTGATCTATTTAAAGGACATGAATTATTTCCCTTAATTAATCATGTTTATTAAAATAGTGTTTTTCATGATTTCTCGTAAATCGGGGGTCTATTTTCAATGATATTTTGCATTTAGAGAAACAATAAACACTCCTGTTTAGCCCATATTTAAGATTTGATTGCAGTGTTGATGCTGCAATGTCACGCCTTAACAAAGATGAAGACGAGGTAACTATGAGGATACCCGGAGCTATGCAATAGGAAGTTGCAAGTGTATTTACTGTACATCAATCGGCTTTGCAGTGGTTAAACTACGTCTTCACCAGCTAAGAACACAGATGACAGACTAAGAACCGGCCGTCAACGGGTTAACACACCAAGACTGGACCGTCAGATCCCCCCATCAGCAATCGATTGAGAACTGCCACACAAACTGCTGCTACTATTACTGGTTGAAGAAATCAGCATAAAAGTGCACAAATTGTACACAAGCGGCTGAGAGGAGCTGGTATTCGTCCACGACATCCGTACATAGGAAACCCACTAGCGTTGAGACGTCCTAAAGTACATATTGTTATGCCCCTTGAATTTGGGGGCGATGAAAATGACATTAACCTAACTTTTCAATTCGCAACATAGGACGTTTGATTTTTATCACAACACACTCTAAAATCACTTTTGAAAAATAGGGTTTAAACTGTAAACTTAAATTACCATGTTTCATCTGAATATGCGTTTCTTTTTTTTTTGTTGAGTATATATGAATTACAAAAGAAACATGACAAAAATGTAAGACCCCCGTCTCAAAAGCTAGTGTTGCTCGGCATTATTCAATATTTTCATGTAATACTTTAAACCAACTTTTATTCGCGCGCGAGAAAGTTTCGCAAGATTCGCAATTAGAGTTTTGTCATTGCGAATATTTCTTGCCGCGAACGGGTCCTTAAATTCTCTATGTCTATTATCAACAGATCCAAAAAGGCTTGAACGCGAAAATTAATCGTCGCGAACTTGTTTACCCCTTGTAAAACGAGAAATAAAATTGTCGCGAATTAAAGCTGGTTTACAGTATAAACAAAAACCTGCACTTAAGACATTGTTTAATACCTATAAAACATAAATTTAATGAATTTTGGAATTTTATTTTGTGCAAAATATCGGAATCCAACTCTCAAAGCTTAAGTGCACTCATTCTTTGGACCATTGTATTGGTATAGGATATAGAGCAGAGTGGAGAATTCAATGAACATGCTAAACATGCTAACCATGCAATTTTGGGGCTCTCGGTGCATTCAATTATCTTCCTTGATGAAAAATGAACCAAAACTAATTATTCAAAATTTCATATCTTCAAAATTTCAGATTCATGCAAAATTTACCGAATTACCTTGTTTCTGTTTTTCTGAGCCATTTACAGGAGCCTCATTACCTGTTATACAGTGAATAAAAGATATTGAAACAATTTTTATTCATTTGTAAAGATTAGAACTGTATATACATCTAAAAATAGAGTCTTCATCTAATTTGTATCAATCTTATTAAATAACCAGCAATTTAAGATTTTAATCGCAGTTTAAGATTTAAATAAAAATTTTAGTCATTCATAAAATGAATATTTACATTTGACTGTAAGTATAAGGTACACTAGCATTTAAAAATAGAAACTAAGAATTTCAACATATTGACAAGGATAATGAATTCAAAATATAAAATTAATATTATGTGTATAAATAATATTGAATCAATTTTGTGTTAAATGTCTGACTTTAAGTCTAATTATTAAGTGCTTCATGATTCACATGATTCACATGGATTTATTATTGTACAGTGAAACCTGTCTAATCTGACAAGCTATGCATTGGAGACATTTTTATTTATGGAATATCAGGATGTAGGTTTAAAATAACAAGAGGCCCATGGGCCTTATAGGTCACCTGAGCATCATGCAACAACTTTACAACGATTGACTTTTGCTCATGTTTTAAACTAGTGTCATAAACAATTTTGAATAATCATAATTATACACTTATCATTTTAGTTTGGTTACAATACCCATAGAGAGAATGTTAAATGTAATATTCAGCAATAATCAGTCTAGTGCCACTACCACACACGAACCCCTGACCCTTGGTCCACGCATTTCACAATTTTGGAAAAGGCACCCTTGCTTATCAAAAATATTTGATTCATACAAAGGACAAGATTTCAATCAATTAATTCATTTCCAGTATATAAGTAGAGTCCCCCCTCCCCACCTATGGTACCCCTGACCCAGGGGCGTTGAAATTCACAATTCAGGAAGAATGGCCCTTGCTCATCTTAGCTATATAGGTAGTTCATCTGTTTAATACCCAGGAGCAGAGAAGATTTTCAAAAAATTTCTGCATTTTCTATATGACCAATAGAGCCCCGTCCTAACAACAGAACCTCTGACCCTGGGGTCTTAAAATTCACAATTCAGGAAGAATGGCTCTTGCTCATCTTAGCTGTATAGGTAGTTCATCTGCTTAATACCCGGGAGCAGAGAAAAAGATTTTCAAACAATTTCTGCAATTTCTCAATATAACCAATAGAGCCCCGCCCTGACAACAGAACCCCTGACCCTGGGGTCTTAAAATTTACAAAGGTATTCTTCCACATCATAACTATATACTAACTTAGTTTAATTAATACCCAATAACAGTGAAGATTTTTAAAGAAATAATATATTTTCACTATACAATCAATAGAGCCCTGCCCTAACACCAGAACCCCTGACCCTGGGGCTATAAAAATTGACAATTTTGGAAGAGGCATTCTTGCTTATCATAACTATATACTTTAAGTTAGTCTATTTAATACTCAGGAGCAGAGAAGAAGATTTTCAAAGAATTAATGTATTTTCACTATATAATCAATAGAGCCCCACCCTAACACCTGAACCCCTGACCCTGGGGCCATAAAATTCACAATCTTGGAACAAGCATTCTTGCTCATCATAGCTATATACTTAGTTAATTCGTTGAATACCCAGGAGCAGAGGAGAAGATTTTCAAACAATTTCTGCATTTCCTCTTTATAATCAATAGAGTCCCGCCCTAACACCAGAACCCCTGACCCTGGGGCCATTAACTTCACAATTTTGGAAGAAGCATTCTTGCTCATCATAACTATATACCTAGTTAGTTTGTTGAATACCAAGCAGCAGAGAAGAAGATTTTCCTACAAATTCTGCATTTTCTCTATCCATTGTATAATTAATAGAACCTCGCCCTATCACCATAACCCCTGACCCTGGGGTCATGAAATTCAAAATTTTGCAAGAGGCATTTTTCCTCATCATAAATATATACTTGGTTAGTTTATTTAATTTACAGGAGCAGAGAAGATTTTTAAAGAAATAATGCATTTTCACTATATAATCAATAGAGCCCCACCCTAGCACTAGAACCCCTGAACCTGGGGCCATGAATTTCACAATTTTGGTAAAGGACTCAATGGTCATTACATTCATCTTAACGGTTTGACTGCTTGATGCCCAGGAGTAAAGAAGAAAATTTTAAAAGATTGCACTAATTTTAGTGGTTTTAGCCCCACTTCTCAAGCCCCAGGGGGACAGGGACCATGAAATTCACAATTTTTGTTCCCCTTCACCCATAGATGCTTCATGTAAAATTTAGTGGAAATTGGTTGAGGAATTGCAGAGAAGAAGCTGAAAATGTTCAAATGTTAACACACACGAACCCGAAAACAGATAGCAATAGGTCACCTGAGTTTACTCAGGTGATCTAAAAAGGAAATGAAAATAAAGATTTTCATTCACAGAGAAGAGAATTGCACAGCTGTTTGGTTAAGAGTTTTTTAATACATATTAAGTTAGCATGTTTGTTTAAGGAACAAGTCTCAATAAGGCTTATCTGTGGTTAATGGTCCCTCATCAAATTTTGAACAATTATTAAAAAACTTAAACAATTCAAATTTTATTATAAACTAGTATCTTTTTCAAGTCATCTTCAAAACTGCTAAACAGTAGATATATAAGGCATATGAAGCTGTTGAAGATGGGTCCTTTGATTTTCATGAATATCAAAAGAAATCACTTGCAGATACACACTTTGTGTTTAAAGCTATCATAAAACAGAGCACAGGTTTTGTTCAGAGTCAAGTTTGAAACATAGTGTGTAAATTATGTGTAAATTATACATGTATGTGTAAAAGTTAAGTGAAAATATCTTTGTTGAACAACCTTGTTCTCTTTATTTTCTAATTAAAAGTATTGTGAATTTGAATCTTTTCATCCACTTCATTTACATGCAATTTAAACTCTTTATGACTTGTTTGGAATCTTAACAAGCCACATTGATTAGTATCGGGGCAAGTGCCCCCCCCCCTTCCTAGAATAATCCTTTGACAAACTGCAACCTGCTGCTGGTTAATCTGTCATACCAATCAGCTGTTCCTTTAAAGTACTTTCAAGCTTTTTACGTCTCATGACGGCATCTCATTTAATTATTAAATGAGTTGATTGGAACCCAGGTCTTCAAAATTTGTATATCCCCAGGCAATAAACGCTTTCAATTACATAAAATTTTAAAACTATAATCAAAACGTTTCTAATTCAAAAAGACCATGAAATCAGGGAATTGTGTTAGTATACATTTATAAACAATATACATGTAACATTTATTTTCTGTATATTTATTACTTTGTAAAATTGATTTCATTCTAAAAACCGAATAGCAATTTTACATACCAATACAACGTTTGATGATTAACTGGTTAACCAGGTACTTATTGACAACACTAATAAAAAAAAACATTTATTAAATAGTTTTCATCTTTGGGGTAGATTCTTACCTGAAAGTAAAGGCTTTCCAGTATCATCTGATACTCCAGCCTCCAAATCTATGTGAAAAATATAAGAATAGTTTGAATCTCTATCTTAAAAAAAAAAACAATTGAAATTTAATATTAATTCTATGCAAGTAAATTCAATTCATGTTTAAATTCTTTTATTTTCTACATTTAAAACTTTCTCACTTTACATCTTTCTGTAAAGTAAATCAATTCATCAAAAAAGTAGTACAGTTGTAGTTGTAATATTGTGCTTTGCACTCATGAAAAAAATCAAAATTCAGAATTCTGTTCCTCTTGTGAAATAACATCATACCCAAACACAAAACACTGAATATCCTATATGTGTTACGTATATTAGTAAGAGTGTGATATTTAGTTTCAAGGTTTTCAACCCATTGTAAATTTCATGAAGGATAGATTCAATTTTAATCATTTAATTTTGTTGAATCCATAAAATTAAAAATAGTTGTGTTATTTGTAATCATCATTTAAATGTATGTTTCTACAAATATGCATTATAACACTGTATTGGTAATATTTGTTTTTATGAAACAAAAATATATTAACATTTGATGAGTAAACAGTTTTTTTGATTCCTAATATTTGGGTGTGAAATATGAACATAAACAAAAAACTGTCCAAATTAACTTACCAGTTCTACCTGAGGGTCTTGTTTCACCCTCTCTGTTCCCCAGAAGATGATTTCTGATATCTATAAGGAGTGAAAACATTCAATTAATTCTTGTCATAAATTCTCATTTTAAATCAGAATTAAAAATTCTTGGTTATGCAGCAAAATCCCATCAGTGATGTTTGCACTACTTTCTGTATGATGTTTTTGACACCTTTGAATACATACCATCAAATAATTGATGCATTTTATCCTTGAAACCAAACATGTTTCTGCAGTAAAACACGACTGACACCACTATAGCCACAGAGATCAGGACAGCAAACACAACTTCTCCTAATCCACCATCGTCGTCTTTTGGTCTGTTAAAATGAATGTCAATCTTAGCAAAGAAAGTCAATCTCTGTTAATTGATCAATCCACATCTTGTAACTAAAAGCAAAAACTACTACACAAAATGTGACGTGACATATATAATGAAAAAATACTTTTACTTCCGGTTTTATCTAGTTTTTACATGTAGGATTTGGTCAGGCACCGCTTATTAGAGAGTCTTACAAAGGTTTTAAAGATATAGTTTTTGCTAAGAGAAAAGCCTGCTGTACACTGAGAGCGACACCCTAAATAAATCATAAACAATGAACACATGGCATGATCACGGAGTGACCGATGGAAAAAGATGTGCGGTTTTTGTTAAATAAAACAACAACAGACGTCTGGGGTTATGTTACATAATAATTCGTAAACAACGGGTGACTGTATGACGAGAAACGTTTAGGTTATTTATACTTTCAGGCTAATCAATCGAGTCTGTTTTGATAGTTGAAATTTTTGCACACTAACTTGAGCGTTTCAGTAATACATTTTCTCATTGTGTATTTATAAATATTGATAAAATAGTGAGCGTTTCTAGTTTTCCTCTTTTATATCTGTCAAGTTCAGTAGCCAATATTGAGTAAACATAGTATGATGACTTATGCGGAGACTTACCAAAGTGTTTAAGTCTCGGGCAACAGTAAAGATAACTCCATAAAGGAACTTTGATACCAACGATTTTGAAAATATTTTTTTTACATCAGTGCATTTAATTTTAATTCAATTTTTTTATGTAATCTAATTCATTGTTTCTTCTTTACAATAGGAGTCTTTATTGATTTTTCTCGAGATGTATTTTTGAGAAAATGAGTTTATATACTTTTTATCAAAAAAAATAAATTTCTGTAAAAAAAAAATGTTGATCGATAAAATTCAGTTTTTATGGTTATTCTGTGAGCTTAAAAATATACGACAGGGTAAGACAACATTTCTTGTGCTAGATATAAAAATGCCTTGGGGAACATTTCTTGAAACTTGTGAAATCTATTATTTAAAAAAATCAGTATAAACTAGAAAAAAATCAGCTTATGGAATGATTAAAAAATATATGAAGAAATAAGCAACAGCAACTGTATTCTTAAAATTTTCAACATAATTCCTGAATATCCAAAAACCTGTAAATAATATCCTTGTATATTTACATTAGGCAATGGCAGTAAAGAACAACCTTTGAAATATATAAACAATAATGAAGTTTGTGTTTGTGTTATATAAAATGCCAGTCTTCAATGAATTACAAATGAAGGCTTGAAACTTCAAAACAAACAGCAGTTGCAGACAAAGTTTTTCATTAATCTTAAAATGACGGATAAAGATAGGCATAAATTTTCTTCAGCAGGCTAGATAATTAATCCTGAGGGATTAATTGTGTTACAATAAGAACTTTTTCAGTGTTAATATTAGAATGGCTTAATCCAACTACCTTAAAAATTAATATTATTCTTGAATTTACATAAAGGGAAAAAAGTAAATATAAAAGATATGTCTTCTTTAATCTATTTCTTGTTTTTAGAATTCAATGAAATCATAACTCATTGTGTAGGTATTTTAACCAAAATAAAGTATAAACATTTATATCTAAATCCACATTTCAGAGTGTTCATAGCATTCCAAATTGACTGAACTTCAAAACAAACTTCATTTGCAGACAGAGGTGGTAATTAATCTCAATGTGACAGATTAATGCTTTGGATTTTCTTCAGGAGGAAAGCTAATTAATCCCAAGGGACTCATTGCAGCATTCAGTTTACAATGGAAACATCTTCAGCAGTTATCTCTCTTTGCCAAAGCATTCTTATATAAAGTTAATATAACCACCCCAGCTCCAAACCAAGGGACATAGAGAAACAAACTTAGCATCAAAATATGTCTTTTTGCCTATTGAACTACCATACCAAATTTGATCTTAATTGGGCAACCATAAAAAAAGTTATTAAGAAAAAACAGGAAATTTGTGGACGGAAAAAAGACAGACGGACAGATGGACAGACAGAGTGATTACTATAGGGCACCCGCAAATCCTTGCGGGGCCCTAATTACATTTTTATCCCTGGACAGTTTTTAAAGGTTGATATGCTTGTTAAAAGTAATGCTCAATAATATTAGAACATAAGCTGTGAGTGTGTGGAAGACCCTTAATGCAGACGTGAACTTTTTATGAAGTTTCATTATCAAGTTGATTCACCTGTCTCAGGTAAGTTCTTTTATGAGGCTCATTTGTAATTGAATACCACTAAAATAAATTTTAAGCCAATATCAATAAATAATAAGATTGTACTAGTTTATGATAATGAATGTCTTTGTCGTTTTTTTTTTCTATAAAATTATCTCTCAAAAATATCAACAGGAAGTTTGTGATAAGGTGGGATTTAAATTAGTAATTATGATATATTAAATACAAGTAATGTAAGACAAATCCAAGTAGAAAACTTCATTTTATGGGTTTTTAAGACTACAAGTATAAAGTTTGCAGTTCATGAGAGACTAATGAGACTTACGTGGAGACATGAAAAATAAATACATGTATTTTACTTACTATTTAATAACTTAATATAATTCTAACGATTATAATTTTCTGTGTGAACTACTAGTGCAGTAAATGTCATTTAAACATTAAACATTAAACCTACAGTGTATCTATTCCAATATTAAAGGGTTATTGCACTTGCATATTGGTGAATATTGGCACAAGTTGGCTGCATGTACAAATGCACAAGCTTGCAAGTGCATTTATACAGCCAAGGAGTGCCAATAATGAACAATATAAGTTCAATAACTCTTTTAATACACAGTATATAAATTTATAATAATTATGCATTCCAACTTAAAACTCAAAAAAATTATTTTTTAGTATCAGTATTCAAATTAAAAGTGTTCAATTTTGCATCATTTCAATTACTCTATCAAGCATTATGATTTGCTTATTTAGGTTTTAATGGGACTGTCTAATAGATACATTTTTACTAAATAGTTTCATTTTTGTGCAAAAAAAACCCCCCACATCTTACCTAGTTGCCACTTCCTTTCTTTTATTTGCCTTTGAGGGACTGACCAAACGACAGGTTTTGTTTGCAATGGGGCATTTGATATGGAACCCTCATATTCGGTCATACTTATTTACATGATATAAACAAATAAAACTAGCGACTTTAATTCTTTTTTAAAAGAGATTAATTATTAGTTACATTGTATATAATACTGAAATATCTTCCGTCTCCAACATAAAAATTATTATTTTTTTTTTTTCGTCCAAATTTTGTGCAGACGATTTCTAGAGATGTGTGGACGGATTTTAAATTTTCAAGATGATTAATTATTTTTTTTAATTTTTGACACTGTATATAATAATTTTTAGTGACCATTTTGTAAATTATTTTATTTTCTTAGATGCATGTTGTAGTTTTGCTTTTTCAAATTTTCGAGTGCATAATTTAAAAAAAATTTTTCAACTTTTTTGTTTTCCAATATTTTTCTTTGATGTGTTAAATACACATATACATTTTCAATTAATTTTTTAAAAATAATTTCTTTTTTAAACTGTAAAATCAAATCTTTTCCCTTCATATAATTTTAGCAGCTTTTAATTGATTGACACATGTTAAATACACATATACATTTTAAATTAATTCTTTTAAAATAATTTTTTTTCATGGTGCAACACAACAGTGCTCCCCATGTAACACAATGTGCTACACTGTATTTCTAATTTATGCTCCCATGCTACATATTTCTTTAACACTGCGAAAAAACACATTTTTTCTACTGTGCAATGGAGAATTATACTCTTGACCTGGGTTGTATTTCAAATGAAACAAGAAAGAAAACTAGCATTAAAAGCAATACACCCATATTGAGGGTTTTATCAAGTCAATGTGACATTGCAATAATTCTGCTGACATAATCTGTTGATAATGTGATAGAACCATTATATTGCCTACACTGAAAACTTTTTTTTCTTTTGAAGTAAATTATAAATGCTTATGAAATACTTGATGTATAAATACAAGAGGCCCATGGGCCTTATAGGTCACCTGAGCATTATGCAACAACTTTTCAGTGATTGAATTTGATTCATGTTTTAAGCCAGATGCTATGGCATTCACAATTTTCAAAGAGACACCATTGATCATCATAACTATACACTTAGCAGTTGCTTAGTTAGGTTACTTAATACCCATAGGCAGGGTAGGGGAACAAAAAATGCATTTCAGCTAATTAGTAATATTCAGCAATAATCAGTAGTGTCCCTACCACACAAAAACCCCGGACCCTTAGGCCTAGATCCACACATGGCACAATTTTTGAAAAGGCATTCTTGCTTTTCAAAAATATTTGATAAATACTAAGGAGTAAATTTCAAACAATTCATTCATTTTCTATATATAAGTACAGCCCCCCCCCCCTCTTTGGTACCCCTGACCCTGGGGCCTTGAAATTCACAATTCTCGAAGATTAGGGCCCTTCCTAATAACTGTATAGGTAGTTTATCTGCTTAACACCCGGGAACAGAGAAGAAAACTTTCAAAGATTTAATGTATTTTCACTATATAATCAATAGATCCCTGCTCTAACACCAGAACCCCTCACCCTTGGGCCATAAAATTCATAATTTTGGTAGAGACACTCTTGTTCATCATAACTATGCACTTAGTTAGTTAATATAATACCCAGGAGCAGAGAAGAAGATTTTCAAAGAATTCATGTTTTTTTCACTATATAATCAATAGATCCCCGCCCTAACACCTGAACCCCTGACCTCAGGGCCATGAATTTCACAATTTTGGTAGAGGCACTCTTGCTCATCATAACTATGTACTTAGTTGGTTTATTTAATCCCAGGAGCAGAGAAAAAGATTTTCAAAGAAATAATGCATTTTTACTATATACTTATTTAGCACCGCCTTAGCACTAGAACCCCTGACCCCAGGGCCATGAATTTCACAATTTTGGAAGAGGATTCAATGCTGATTACAATCATGCAAACAGTTTGACTGCTTGATGTCCAGGAGTAAAGAAGAAGATTTTTAAAGATTGCATTAATTTCAGTGGTTTTGGCCCCACCCCTCAGGCTCCAGGGGGGCAGGGATCATGAAATTCACAATTTTTGTTCCCTTCACCCATAGATGATTTGTGCCAAATTTGGTTGAAATTGGTTCAGTGGTTGCAGAGAAGAAGCTAAAAATGTTCAAATGTTAACGCAAGACGACGGACGAAAACGGATAGCAATAGGTCACCTGAGTTTACTCAGGTGACCTAAAAATCAATCAATCTGATTAAATTCAGGTGTTCTGATACGCTACCACTTGTGAACATGGTAGCACATCAGAACACCTGATTATATTGAAATTGCAAATCAACGACAATTTTTTTTTTTGAGAAGCCTTTCAGATTCCTTTCTCAAATATCAATTATCATCTTTTCTCATATACAGAATCAGCAAAATTATGGACAACTTCACATTAATCAATTACAGCTGCATACAGAAAAACAGATTGTGAGAAATATAGGCTCTATTAGATGTTTTGCATCATAGAATGAGTTAACAAATGCAAAATTCTACCTCTCTTTTTCTGTTTTATTTCTACAAATGATTACAATACATCCAAATCTATAAATTCCATGCTTCATACATGTAACATGATTACTGTTGTATCTCTTAATTTCATGGGGTCAATTTTTTTCTGGTAGGAGGAAAAATATTAGTAATTGGTAAAGGGGATTTAATTTTGTGGTTAAAATCAGAAATCATACAGCAGTGTACTGTCCTCACATTTCCTGGGAAATATGAATTTGGGTCTTTTCATACCATGAAAAAACAAAAATAAATAAACCCCACAAAAAATGATTTCTCAGTCACTCTCAGAGACTACTCATTAACTGTTTAGTAGTATGAAATATTAGAGATTGATGCTCAAAAATCAGTTCATTTGATAAAACAATCTTACAAACAAATTAAAAAGTAACTAGAATGCAATTCTCAGCTCATTAACATGATGAAGATATTGCAAATCTTTGAATTGTTGCATCTTTCGTAAAAAAAAATGTGTTAATTATTAGTCTTAGAATTTCACTTCAAACATGCATCACAACATCACCAAAACTATTGAACCAAAGACCTGAGATGCATTCAAACAAACTAGCAATGAAAAAATGCCATTTATATTATTGAACTTCTTTACAAACCACACAAAAAACATCTTTGCCATCTATGGACTCTGTCTATTGTTCAGAATTTTTTGTAAAATTTGAGTAGAACGAGCTGAAAAATTATCTAGATTTTACAAATATTGTTAAACTGCTTGATAACTTTGTCGAACAAAAAGGCATCAACTCTGGAAAAAATTTAATATCACCCAATGTGAAGCCTTTCTATGTCTTGAAAAACACTAGCAACAAGCTAATTCAGAGAATTTGTGTCCCCCGCTTTAAGTAAAGGTAAACCATGCGCAGTTCGGGGGGAGGAGTCGGATCCTCCAGACTGAAATTGTAGAATTATCAAATGTATACATGTATACTGAAGTAAATAAAATATGTTAGTATGGATATAAAGATCTGATTGCTTATTCTTAATTATGTGTATAGAAGATTCTTTTTGTATTTATTTATCACACTTATAAAGAACTATATGATGATTATTATCAAATTTTGAAAACTTCCTGTGTGCTGTTCAATAAATTGTATGGGAAATATAAATTAACAGAAAATATTATAGTGTCAAAGCAGTGTATTCACAATTTTTGTTTTTATGACGTCACAAACTACGTTTTAATACTTTCCATTTCACAATTTTAGCTTTCAAATTTACAGGAATACTATCATTTATTGATTTAAAAAAAAAAATATTGGAACACAGATTTTGGAAAAAAAAAATTCATAAAAAACTTAAATTTACGTCATGTTCGTGACGTCATTACGTACATATGGCGTCATTACTTATGAAATCATTCACTGCTTTGAAGTCAGCATATACTCCCCTGTTTAAGAACTCTAATTAAATATATCTCACAAAGTTTGATGAAGTTATTACCGAATAAAGTTCTTTATCATTTCACATGCTGAATACTATCATTTAGTTTAAAAAAAAGGATTTCTACACCATGGAACCGCTATATATTGATGAAATTATATGCAGATATGAAGTCACATACATGTATATGTTCACGTTCAACATTGTCAAAATTTTACGCAATGCATGGTGTCTAATTTAACCTTTATTAAACAGTTTTAATAAATGTATACGAATATAAAGTCCGCCTAGAACCTGTTTTATACGTAATAACTCTCCTCATGCACCTGTGCTAAAAATAGCGACATTTAATACAATAAATACTAATAAAACAAACGGGGCGGGACACTTTGAGAGGAGAGAGAGAGAGATCCTAGGGAGTTTTGGTATAAAATTACATTGCAAAAGCTCAAAATCCTCTTGAAATATCGCCCGGAAAGGATAGTGTTACACACAGATATAATGTATAAATTTACGACCTTGAACTTTGACCTTTTGACCTCAAAGTCAATAGAGGTCTTCCTTTGGCCACAGGGAGTTGTTATGCAAAATTTCATTGCAAAAGCTCAAAGGGTTCTCAAGATATCGTGCGGAAACGAAAGTGTTATAACAGACAGAATTTGCAACTTTATGACCTTGACCTTAGACCTTTTGACCTCAAAATCGATAGGCTTCTTTTTTAGTCCACAGGGAGTTGCTATGCAAAACTTCATTGCAATAGCTCTAAGGGTTCTCGAGATATCGTGTGGAAACTAAAGAGTTACAGACAGACAGAATGACGGACAGCTATACGGACGGACGGATGGACAGACCCAAATTAATATCCCCCACTTTTCAAGCGGGGGACAAAAATTATCCAGACTATATGACCATACAGAGAACTACATGTGTTCATTGAAAAGTACAAAAAATTCAACTGCTGCGAGACTGTCGTGGATATTTTGTGGCTGACTAAATTATTTCTTGCCAAATCATAGCAACTTCTTAATTTTGTGATATATTTTGAGCCCTTTTTTTAAATCTTAAACTTCTTATACTTTTCTTTAAGGTTGAAATCTGAATAACTAGAATCCTTTATTTCAAAATGTTAAAATTTCCTTAAAATTTTTATATGGTTAATGAGGAAGAAATGTCACACAAAGCAACAGGGATGTATTTATTAGCCCTGACAAACACCTGAATAATACATAGATGTATAGAAGCATTTATCAACATTAATTTAACATTACAATGACTCAGATTCATTTGTATTGTAGCAAATGACACTGACACATACCCTGACACTTGAGGAGCAGTTGTCTGGACTGTGGTAGTGGTGTGAGGAGCTCGTGTTCTATAGAAACATCATTTACAACTATGATTAACACTGGATCTTTTAATATAACTTAAAAATAAAACTTCAAGCTTAAAACATGTTATTTCACTTAAATCAGTCACATTTTGAATCCCACAATTTTTTGAAAGGTTGAATTTTTACATCTTTGAAAATTGAAGCCCAAATTAAATGCATAGGATTATACATGCATATATTATACTTACGTTCCATAAAAATCTGCATAGCATATGGGATCTAGTTAAAGAGAAATTGTGCAAATATTATTAAACACACAACATTATTTGAATTAATGTTACCTGGATATGTCACAATATGGATAATTTATTGAATTGATAGGACATTTAATTTGAAAATTTTGAACCCTTTCACAAAAAAAATTATGGATGTTTCAGAAGATGATTTTTTAAATATTGTTTGCAGAAATGTGCATTATATATTGGATGTGCATGATTCTTAATTAGCAGAAAATTCAGTAAAATTTATGCATGCTTATTTCTCATCAGATATCCTGTTTCATGCTGAGCATCAGGGTGCAAAAGAATGAGAATAGACTGAAATTAAAAGAACACTCAGTTTGAATACCAAATTAATTTGCAATTTTTCATAAAACATCTAAAACAAGAGGCCCAAGGGCCACATCGCTCACCTGAGCAAATTGGCTAGGAAAAGCACAAATAGATCAGAACTGAAAAGTTTAAAGGGGGGAGGGGCTTGAATTTTAATACTACTTGAGAATGCCTTCATATCAATACAGCATTATGACTTTTTTAATTTTTAAAAACATTTTCATCCGGGGAAAGAGCACTGGGCCACAATGGCCGGTAACAGTTTTACATAAAAACAAATGGGGAAGTTCTTTAAAAATCTTCTTCTCAAGAAAGCAGAGCCATGAATGATCATATTTATATGGAAGCATCCTTAGGTAGTGTAGATTCACATTTGTTCAAACCATGACCCCTGGGGGGTAGGGTGGGGCCACAACATGGAATCCAAATTTTACTTAAAAATAAGCAGAGAAATTCTATTAAAATCTTCTTTTCAAGAATGGCAAAGCCATGATTAGTCATATTCATATGGAAGCATTTTCAGGTAGTGTAGATTCAAATTTGTTCAAGTCATGACCCCTGGCGGTAGGGTGAGGCCACAGTGTAAGTTCAAATGTAAAGGGCAATAAATGCCACAGGTAGTCTAAGAAATATGCAAGTATCCCTAGTTTGTGTAGATTCCAGTTTGTTCATATCATACCCTACTCCCCTTTAAGGATTGGTTGGAACCTGCACTTTTGGGTTTAAACTATTCAATAATTAACCGATTTCTGCTTTTTTCCAAGCTACAGTGCTCAGGTGAGCGATGTGGCCCCTGGGCCTCTTGTTTGTTTTTGGGATTTTCCCCTTTATTTTTCTACGTAAAACTTTGATCCTTCATTATGGCCCCACCCTACCCTTGGGGGTTATGATTTGAACAAATTTAATTCTACACTACCTGAAAATGCTTCCATTATAAATACTAGTATCACTAATCATGGCTTCTTGAGAAAAAGATTTTTTAAACATATTTTAATGTAAAACGTGGATCTCCCATTGTGGCCCCACCCTATCCCTGGGGGTTATGATTTGAACAAACTAGAATCTACACTACGTCTACCTGAGGATGATTCCATATACATATCACTTAATAATGGCTTTGAAGTACTTGAGGAGATTTTAAAAGATTTCTCTATATACTCTTATATAAAACTTTGATCGGCCATTGTGGCCCCACCCTACCCCCGGGGGTCATGATTTGAACAAATGTGAATTTACGCTACCTGAGGATGATTCCACATGAGTTTCATCTTTCCTGGCCCAGTGGTTCTTGAGAAGAAGATTTTTTTTTTAAATGCCATTAATTTTTCACTAATTCATAACTATCTCCCCTTGAAAGAGGGGCGTTGCCATTCATTTGAACAAACTTGAATCCTCTCACCTAAGGATGCTTTGTGGCAAGTTTGGTTGAAATTGGTCCAGTGGTTCTTGAAAAGAAGTTGAAAATGTGAAAAGTTTATGACGACGACAATGACAACAGACAATGGTCAAATTTTGATCAGAAAAGCTCACTTGAGCCTTTGGCACAGGAGAGCTAAAAAGCAGGGTCTGGTTTCTGTGTTCGATCAATTATACATGTACCAACTTCTCATGAATAAGAGTCGTTTTGGTTTTACCTCTGCCATTGTAGCCTTTGTTAGGATAGATAACTTTGTAAATAATTGGTTAATATTTGTTGAATTTTCATTAATTTGAAAATATCTGCTTAACGGGTCATTTATTCAAACATTTTGAAATTCCGGGAAACTGTCTTTTGCCTATAAAAGGTCACACTAACCAGAACCAATGCCAGCTAGCTACATGGTGTCTTAGCTGTTTTACAAAAGAATTAACTAATACGACCAAAACCAAAACTGCAATTCACTATATTAACTTTTGCAAAATTATTGAAATGTTTAAAATTGCTGAAATTTTTTCAATGTTCCTTCTAAAGAGATTCAAACCTGCATTTCAATTCAATGAAAATTAAAAAGAAAGAAAAAATAAAATTTCATAACTTCTGTGAAACAGGCCCTATAGTTTCTGAAAAGGCAAGTGCCAAGAGGGTGCAGGAAGGATATCCCTACTTCTAAACAAAATTTCTTTATACATGCAAATGACATTTAAATGGGTACCATTTTGAGGGTCCTTGTGCATTAATGAAGGTTTTTTTTTTAATATATCTTAAATAAAATTATTTTTTGAAAAAAGAAAGCAAGATAAATAACGTTTTTGCATGTAAATCTCAGAAAAAACTTGCAAAACTGTTAATTTAAGTACTAAATGTAAATTTTTGGACATTTTGACAATATCTGATCAGAAGTTATATAAGCTGAATCATTAAATATGACTCAATCTAATTACTCACCAATTATAGAAACTTATTTCTTAGCTTGTTATGTTTACTAATATAAAAAGTATATTTATAGCAATTTTTAATAAATCTTTTTCAGTTCCGAAATAGAAAATCATATAGGCCAATTGAACTTCTATAGAAATAAGAAACGAACATTGTTGAAAACTAGAAGTGCATATGAAGTGTACGATGAAAGACTTGGAGATGTGTATAAAAGGAATATTTTTTTTCAATACTTCAAATTACATATGTCTCTGAATGGGCATGCCATATATCTTTTGAAAATGATACTGCTACATTTACCTCTTTGTTAGCGGAATTTTTCTACGTGTGATAGGAACTTTATACAAATGAGCCATGCCCTACAACAATTTACATTTCTTAAAGAATAATTGTGTCTATTTTTCAGTACTATTTATAAGTTTATGTCTATAAAAAAAGGATATATATTTTAAACATGTTAAACAATGCAATATATATAATGCATTTTATTATGATCTTAATTAATTTAAATGCATTGTACAGGTATACATGCATTTAAATATTTTACCCTGGCACCCTAGGGTAAATGTTTGAAATTTTTGTGTAAATCATAAATTGTTCATTTTCAATTAGTATATAATAGTACACTTGTAATACATTATTTGTTTCTTTTTTTTCTACTTTAATTAGCAAGTTTTAAAGCAAAAAAGAAACTAGAACTTCATGTTCTAATACTCAAAATAAGAACAGATACACATGTATTTCAATGTAAAATTTTGACTCTATTTTGTGGCCCCTCCAAAACTGAGGAGTCTGTGATTTTCACAATAGCTAAAGATGCTTCTCTGTAAGTTTCTGTTTTTCTAGTCCAGTGTTCTTCCGCAGAAGTTTTTTTTAATTACTCAATCCTATTTTTGCTTTTGCTTTTCCTCACATGTAATTATCTCCCCTTGGAAGGGGTGTAGTTCTTTGATCATTTTAACAAATAATAAAAATTCCAATTAACCAAGATTGCTTTGTACCAACTTTGGTTAAAATTGGTTTAGTTATACTTGAGAATGTGAAATGTTTTCAGACAGACAGCTAAACAGCCTGGCGTCAATTGCTGGGTGATTTGATTAGAAAAACACAAGCTTTCAGTCCTCTTTGTAAAGGGGGAGGGGGTGGCTATATTATGATTGCTTTTGTTTCATTAAAATATAAGTATTTATTACTGCTATTTAAGTTGAAAATAAAAACCACTCTCATTCAAATTATTAATATATAACAAAGATGTTTGTTAAACATTTATGCCCCCTTCCCCCCAAATTTAGATTTCTAAGTCAAAAGGACATAACTCTGTCAAAAATGGTGGGATCGTATCCAAAACAGAAGTTGACCTGGATATTTATCTGATTAATCTGTATACCAAATTTCATTTCAGTATGTGCAACCTCTACAAAGAAAATGAACGGAAACTGCAAATAATTGGAATTTTTCTAAGTCGAAGGGGCATAACTCTTTCAAATTTGCGCAATCGTACCCAAAACAAAACTTGAACTAGATATCAATCTGATATGTCTGCTTACCAAAGTTTCATTTCATTATATTAATGTGCAATGGTTGTGAAGAAAATGATTGGAAACTAAGGGGAAATAAATATCAAATATTATGAAGAACATAATGACTCAATCCGCGTTTGCATATATCATCAATCAGATAATAATATATATCATTACCTCTAGCCTTAGGCACCTTCAAGAATCTGATTGCTTTATATATCTGTATTTATGTATCAAGTAAAAATAAATAACATAAAAGCAGAAAGTCAATTATTACAAATCCTGACCAAGACCTCTAACTAGCTAGGAGCAATAGCTAAAATTAAACTAGCTGTTCCCTTCTTTGGGTTCAGAAAACAATGACTGTTATAACAGTTGAGTCATCATGGATATATGTTTGCCATGACTTCTTTTGTTTTAAGAAATCAAAACTTAACAGTTAACCTTTCACTATGATTGTGTTATACTTAAAGGTACTTGGACACAGATTTGAAGTCAATATTTTCTCTATAATATTACGACATATATATTTTAATAGCATTTCACACAAAAATTAATTAAAAATCTTATTTCCTTTATTAGTTATTAAAACTTCAAATTTTTTGGCGGGTTTGATTGACACATGCTTGCACTTTCACAAATTTTAACCTTATTCTTACTCCTTAGGAAAAGTGGCAATCTTGTTGTGTATTAATGAGAAATATTAAAACTTTTATCCAGAAAAATAATTTTATTCAGAGTAGAAATGTTAGAAAGTAAAACTCCTTCACAAGTATCGGCATTCCGAACAAA